CCAGCCCTGCCTCGAGCGCTGTTTCACTTTCAAGCTCAGGTTCACATGCTCCCTCTGCTGCGAGTGAGGACAAGGCTCGTAAGAACTTGTTCGGGAGGATGTTCAAGCGGAATTCCAAGGATCCGGTGTCGTTCAGTCCCACGCCAAACACGACACCAACACAAGCACGGCATGTCCGGAATCTGTCTGCCAGTTCTACCCGTCGTTCGCCGTCACCCATCTTCCCGCGAAGATCCATCGATGTACCGCTAGCAGAAGAGGCATCAGTAGCGACGATAGCATCTAATGTTCCCCGTGAAGTTCTTCTTCCGGCTACGCTTGGTATCCAGCCTCTGCTATCGATATCAACACCGAACCCCGCGGTTTATCCCACCCTCGTCACCTTATTCACGTCCTCGGCTTATCCGCCAGCTGCGAGAGGGGTGTTTAACGGTCGCGGACCCGCGATGTACGTTTGGACCGTGAGGCGGTGGCTCAAGGGGGAAGGAGGCAGTGTTCTCGCAGGCATGCTGCGAGGATCGAGTCAGACCGCAGTCGGTGAAGGCAGCGAAGTTCGCGTTGAATGGAGACGGGGGAAATCGAAAACCAAGAAGTCGGCCAAGAACCCTAACAGGCCTAGCACGGCCCGGAGAAAGCGAACGAGTGTGGGGAGTGTGAGCTCTGTGTCGGCGACGAGTGCAGACGGTACTTCAAGGTCAAAAACGGAAGAGGACGATGGCGAAGAGAGTGATCCGGAAGATTCGGAGACACCATGGACGTGCACAGTCAAGGTGAAGCGCCTCGGTCCAGCAATAGCAAGGACGTCGACGTCGACGAATATGAATTCCCTCGGGTCATCCAAGACTGTGACTGAGGCGCAGTCTGCGAAGGTCAAGGTTGGGACGCTTTCACCAACACCGCATCATCCCAAGGTGGTCGCGATGCTCAAAGTTCCGTACCCGTTACCAGACATAGAGGTTGAGCGGATTGGAATCGTACGGAGGAGGGTGGTCAGTCTTGGGGAAGGTGAAGGCGACGGTGCTGGGAGAAAGGTGGTCAGTGAAGGCAGTAAGTGTGGTCTTTCTTTATTTTGCGCGTCACATCTGATGTCCTGTCGTAGCCCCCGTAGGCCTCGTCTTTACGGCCGAGGAGATTAAGGATGTCGTTTGCAGCACGGGATTGTGGCTCGTTGTAAGGGAGGGCTTCGGTGGTGTGGGCAAGGTCAGTCGGAAAGGCGACGGATGGAGGATAAGGGCATGATATGCCTTGTTTTCTTTTTTATTTGAACGAGGAGGGTGCGGCGGGAGAGATATTATTCGTACGTATGCTTCCAAATTTGCGCTATTTGCTTGTTTTTTCTCTCCTTCCATTAACGTGTTAAGTTCTTATCTGTATCCATGAACGTCCATTCATTTCATTTACATATTCATACCCTAGTAGGGCGAGGGGGAGGTTAAAATATATATAATATGTACAACAACATACTTATTTTAGATGCTTTCTTCCTCGGTTTGGGTGAGTTCGAGGTCAGAGATTCATTCTCCTTCCCGTGCCAGCCGCGCATCCTCTCCCTCTCAAAGGAACGCCAGTAACAGCAGTGTTCTTCTCGGGATAAAACATTTATATCTTGGGTGTCGAGTCGGCACCTGGCATAAACGAGACGACATCCAGGAACAAGCGGATCAAGGTGTGACTTCGACCAATCGACAATGATTCATGTATCACTCTCAGCATGATAACAATCATGTGGAGCCTCTTCCTTCTCCCACCGCTGTCTCTTCGTCAACGGTCCTGGCTGAGACTTCGAAGGATCCGAGTCGTTCCCAATGGAATAAGAATTGTTCGGCCGCTGCTCTCAGGAAAGTCAAAATCGCTTAGAATATCGATTTCAAGTGAATTACGCTAAACATCTACCTGAAGTGCGCCTTCTTCCTTTCTTTAACATAGGAGATTTTCCTCCAGAGTCCCTGTCATGGTATGTGCAGGTACCTCGTCGGCTGGTTTCTGTTTTCGCCCTGAATTCTGGGATGCGCTTTGAATCTTGAGGGGTGTTCTCCCTCTGCAAACATTATTTGAATGAAAGAGTGTTTATCTACTGTTGTTTGAACAGATATGTCACCATATTGTGGTTGTTGTTGTTCTCGGCTGTTTTAAGCATTGTTTACATGGTGGTATCTCGTTTACATTCCCGTGGGAATAAGGCCCTAGTCCAAATTCCTATTACGTTTTAAACTTCGACACGTTTGAAGACCCGGACCAAAATTTCTTTCTTCCCATCCTCTTTGTCGTGTGCTCCTCCTAAGGACGTACATCCTTTTTCAATTCGGCGCTTGAGCTGCTCCGAGTCACTAATCGAACCTTCAGTCAGGAAATTTCCAGACGTGCTGGGTGCTTGTGTGCGTTTCTATGTTGCTCAAACCCACCTAGGACTCATTCCCTGATATTTTCCCTATGTATATCAGTCTACAATGCCAAGTTCCCGACTTCCTCTGGACGAAATAATGGCAAAATATGACTGGATAGCAGCTTTTGCTCATCCACCTGACGTCACTTCCCTTCTGCATCACAACGTCGCACTGTCACCTCTGCAAACTGCCCAACTGAAGGCGTCTCTTGAGGGCCTGGAAATTCCTCTTTCTGACATAGACAGCGACCTTGAGTCGCTTCGTAATGCTGTTCTTTCGCTGGAGGCTCGCAAGTTGCGTCTCCAGTCACTCAAAAACGACTACGGGACAGCACTGTCTCCAATGCGCCGAGTTCCCTCGGAGATTATGATGGAGATTCTACGTCGCTCGTGGAAAGATAACGAATACGAATACCGAGGTACATGCTTGCGGAGACGTCTTACCGGATTCAACGTCTTCACAATTCGAGAGGGGCCGTGGCATCTTGGCCAAGTGTGCAGCTCGTGGAGAAATGTTATTAAAACACTTTGTCCGGAGCTATGGGCCTCCATGACCATAGAAATTCCCATCTCCTTCAAATTGAACCCTGAGGACCAGGTGCCTCTGAAAGCCGACCCCATAGAAATACTCCGTGTCGTCCTTGAACGCTCCAGTAATCATCCTCTCGATTTTAATTTTGTATACTATGGCCTGCCGTTCTTCCACTCGAATGTGGAGGAAAGAGAATCCCAATTAATGAAGCAATGCTTCGATATCATGATCGCACATTCGAGACGATGGAGAGCCGTCGAAATGACGATTGATCGATCCTATTTCCCACAACTCTCTCTCATCCGCGGAAAGATCGATTTACTTCAAGACATGTACTTTCGTTGTTGTCGTGCCCCGCCGTCCGGAGATGTCCATGCCTTCGAGATTGCTCCGAAACTCGCAAATCTGCATCTGGAAGGCATGTACAGAGAGGCTAACATACATTTCCCTGCATCCAACCTCGTATCTCTCTCGGACGCAAGATCATTCGCTGGAGACCAGCTGACCCTGACATATCTCGACGTCGTAAAATCAGCTCCAAAACTCCTTTCGTTTTCGTACAACGACTATGGCGTCCAAAGCTTGAACATCCATCCTGCTTCCGACCCTCCGAGTCCTGTTATGGCTTCATCGGTGGAAGAACTTTCGGCGTCTTCGCCAAGTTTTCTGCGCAGCCTGATATTACCATCGCTGAAGAAAGTCACGCTAACAACCATGTACGATCCTGACAATGACATGGATGAAGAACTTGAAGTGATAAAATGCCCTGCAGGTGCGCTGGGAGCACTTCACCAGATGCTGCTGCAGTCGCAATGTTCCCTAACGCGATTATGCCTCGTCGACGCGGACCTCGACGATAATCTTGCGAACATCATACGACTTATGCCTAGACTACAGGAACTCGCCATTGAATTCTACGAATGGGTGCCAGATATCGCAGACGATTACAACCCCATCATGCAGTCTCTTGTGACGCAATTGAGCGAGGTCAGCATGGTAGATGGGTCTCTTCAGCACTCCATGGTCCCGTTTCTGCAAAATCTTACCGTCTACCTGCATACCATCCGGTATGCTCACGTCTCCTTCATCAATTCCGCATTTGTCGACATGGTAGCTTCGCGACTACGTCGACCGCACGACGTACCACATCTCACAGAGCTCAACCTATGGGTGATTGGGCAAGGATGGAGCTACGCTCTTAGTAAAGAGTCTGAGGAAACTTTGAAGCGTTTGGAGGACGAGGGACTGAGGCTTAATTTCTGTCTGGATGATGGAGATCCAGATATAGTAGTGTCAGATTCCGACTCGGACGCTTTGATTTGGTGAGATCGCATTCATCATTGACTCTCGAGTCCGATACTACTTAGTTCGGTGTAGTGAGGACTCGTTCCTCCCGGGACCTCAATACGGGATTCGAACCTGAACTGCGCCACTGTATATTGTTGATACGCTACTAGAGCAGCGTATATTACTTTCTTGAGTTCACCTAATAATGAGAAATATTGGTTCTTTCTTCCCGGACAAAATTCGAACCTCAGTACCGTGTAGCGCATAGTAAAGCCATTCAACCGCTGAAAATATTTACTTGAATGGATAGTTCGCTCACTCTAGACTCTAGAGATTTGAAACAATAACATCTAAGTTCAAGAATCAACTCTCGATTTTCTATTTCCAACCAAAAGGTGGAAAATAGGGTAGCGCACGAGGCCTAGGTTTCGATGCGCTTGCGTTGATTACTGGCAACTTACCAGTGAGTTGTGACTATCTCCCTTCGCTGGAAGGATTTTTGTGGAGGTAACTTCCCCATCATTTGACTGTCAGCTAAGCATTCCAATTACGTATCTAGTACTTCCAGATGTATAAAGTCTCCTGAGAGAAATAAAATGAGTAAAAATATGGAACCTAAAATCTGTAATTGCTGTATGCTCATGGACATAGACGACGGTAAGTTACCGTTTGCACAAATATATTCCTCCTGGGAGGGGCTCAGTAACAAACAGCTACTTACTGAGGCTTCGTGCGGCGTGGGCTACCCTAATGGAAAATTCTATGTCGAAAACCATAAAACTTCTCATTCTAGACGACCTCTCTGACTGGGAGTCGAACCCAGCTTTCGCGCGTTCATTCCAATAACATGACAGGCGCGTGTACTAACCGATATACTATCAGAGACGTAAATTACGTGGTTGGCGTGCTTATATAATAGACACCACTAGAATTCTACCGTCAATTCTCAATCCTGCGTAATAGGCTGTAACAGGAGACACTAATGATAATCATCAGCACCGCAGGACCATTAGAGTCGCTTCGGCGGTACACATCCATCCACTGGAACCATTTCCAACTAGACGTTACTCTGAACTCCACTCTTCCGACTTCTCAGCGAGCCTACATTGCTGTTCCACCCTTCAGCGCAGGTTCATTTTCATGAGCGAGGAGGCCGTTCAAAGTAGCCGAGAGTCGCCCTGATGATGATACGCGAAGACGAATCATTAATAAAGTCAACAACGCCGCTGTATGTTGGCTGGCACCAATTTCAGCACAGAAGGAACGGTCTACGTTTGAGTGCAAGACATTAATATGCCTCTCTTCTTTGGTCACTTTTTCTGACTCCGTCGATCCATTGAGGTACTTGATGTTGGAAAAGATAGTTCAATAGTATCCGCCTCCCCAGAGGTGGAGGATAGTTTCTACAAATCCTCATACAAGATACGCAAAATATACCGTCGGCATACGAAGAATAAGGCCCCCTTTTGCCGAGCTTGATTGCTTAAGTCAGAGTAGAAACGTTGAGGCACACCGAAAGGTGAGTCGAAGAATCGTCTCGATAATCGGTCGTGGTGGTAGAAGGTGGCGGGCCGAAACATCGAACAGGTATGCTATTCAATCTCGTGGCTTCAGACCAATTTCAGGTTATCGTATTTACCGTTTGCTAGCTTCGACACCTCCTACCATGATATGAGCTCTACTACCCTAACAATCAATCCTTCCGATGGCCAGACATGCACAGCAGAGGTCGACTCGCGTTTACCTTATACTATTTCTTAAACTGCCTGCTCACGCAATCACAGACCACCGCCGAGACCTGTCATAACCAAGCGTCAGGGAACATTCGTTACCTCGCGAACGGCTGAGTTTGGTTCTCCTATAGCTCAAGACGGCAGGGCCACTTCGATTGTCAGTACCGTTTCAGTGCTTGCTGGTTTCTGACACTTTATTGATCCCAGGAGCTATTAACATTGAGTCCATTATCACTGACGGACGAAGACGGCCGCTCTAGCTTTGCTGAATTTGAAGGTTCTACAGTCACGAGCACCAGCAGTGCCTATGGTGCTACCTGCATGTAAGAACAACCTTACCCCCACACTCTTTAAAGTCTGGTCTCGGCCAATTCCCAAGAATCATTATTTTGTTTGCTAACATGGTCTACTCAATATACTTACCTTTTCTACATGCCAACGATGGGAGTCGGTGACACCCCCAATGTTTTCTCCTATAAGTCGGCGAAACGAGAGAGCTGTTTGAGTAAGAGTGTGAACATATTAATATGTGAGAAGTAAGACCGAGGCTAGAACGCGCAATTACGGGAAGAGTGCGATTGTCAACGAGGCATTGTTATCGAGCCGTGAGCGTAACATCTTCGTCTTGAACATGGGAAAATACTATCCAGAGGCTCAGTGAAAATTTCACCATCGAGCGCTGTTATGAGTAGTGATTACTCCGTCAAGTCTATTGCCTCGCTGGTAAAACCATGATAACCAAGAGGTGAGGCCCTAGGCTGTATTCCTAATGCACAATGAGTAAAGGCCTTATCACTGTTTTCTTCTTCAATGACTCAATATGCGTCTACGCGTAATACAAATCTTACCAAGACCAATGCAAATCCCCACATGCCTTTCCTGTCTTCTTACTCACTTTCGTAATAATGAAGGCAAATCTCCCGTGTACCTTTGGGTCATATATCGGTTCGCCATTGCTATCTACGGGCGCGGTTCCTCGCGTTTTCGGATGTTTGGATAATTGCTTCAATATGGGTAACATGTATTTCTTGTGGATCGATTCTTTTGCCCTGTCATAGGCATTGCGCCACATAGGGTCGTTCTGCTCTGATGTACGTCGAGCGAGGATATTGACGCCGTACCTGTAGAAGGTCAGCAAGATACACGATGAACACCAGCGAGACGCACTCGGCTTCGAACTGGCGCCCTACATCGCTTGCAGGAAGCCCTGCTTTCTTCCCTGCAGCCTCGTAATATTCGAAGAACGCTTGCACCCCTCCCCACCTATTCATCATCGCCTGATCCTCCTCGGACAGAGGTCTCGACTTTCCTGTGATTAATCCTAGTATACGTTTTTGAATAATCTGCCATACATGGTAAAGGACAAATCGGCAAAACTTTAGCAGACATACCATATGCAACATTGATACCTGAGTATTGTGTCCAGCGGCGTAGTCATATTCCCCTCGTCCGTACAAAATGAAGAAATGCCGTGAGTTGTTATCCTGGAATCGGAGTTGTGCTCCTAGCGCACCCTTCGGCAAAATAGGAGGCGGAGGACTTGTGGCTTCTGAGACCGGGGACGTTTGCAAATACGGGGAATCCAAAAGAACTGGAAAGTCGGAACGATACTGTGTCAGGGCGTTGGTATATGTCAACAATAGTGAATCATCCGCTTCCGAGAAGTCGACGATGCCGGTCACTCTAGGCACAGCACGGCTGGAACTACTGTCTATCTTGGACATAGCTGGATGCTGCTGGAGGTTAGACGGAAGATGTGAAACCAAGAAATTGCCAATACATGGCTTATCACGTGGTCGTGCAGTTGCAATAATTTAATGGATAAAAGTTGTTATATCAAGCACATATAGTAGCATAGCAAGGGAGCTGACAGGCCGATGATGTCGATGAAAGCTATGCACCTTTTCAAACTCTAATCAAAAGAAATCTCCCATCAGTCTTCGCCATATTAAAAGTTGACAACTATGTCTTGGTTGTGCATTGTACCGGCCACATAGAAGGGACTAGAAAGGGATGAGATTTTGAACATAGAGATTTCAGAGCTGAGAGGGCAATGGCCGTGTCGGGGAGATGCAAAGCCGTGCGCGTAGTATGAAGAAAATACGGACTTTAGGGCAGGCCCTTTCCCACACCAGTTCCTTTTCAGGTCTTCGATCCCTTTTGGTACGACCATCCCACCTTTGCCCGTCTATGCTGATTTAGACGAGCCTAGTCTTCTCAAATCTCGAGCGCATACCTATTAAGAGATTGAGAGTCTACCTAGGGGAGCTTGCAGCCTTGCATCTCAAGAAAACGTACTATCAATAATTGCCGCGGATCAATTGATCTCTTAATCTTATCAACACTGAAATTGCGCTTCAACAAGTACAGTCATCTAGCATAGAATGGGTTCGGTAAAAACTGCCTTCTTTCATGCTATAAATCTCTCACCTTCAATAACAGGATATTTACAGAGAACTTGCTGAGCTTCCGGTTCCGGTCGGAGCGCAGTTTCTTCAGTCTGCTAATAGTAACTCCACTGGTAAGGCGCTTACAACTTGATGCTACCTCCTCGGTGAAAGGTATATTTATCTTATCTAGGCATCGAAATTATTACTTCGATCCGAGATCATGTTCGTAATGCCAAGCGTACTATATCGAAGTCCATCTACACGTCACAGGGAGCCATCCTGTCTTCGCTGCCTCAAGATATCAGCGATGTGGTACTTTCATCGCTGTCTCCGTCCCTAAAGTACCGTGTCATTCTGAGGTCGAAGGATGGGAAGCGTTTCATCGAATTATGGGCCGAAGATAGGCTGGTACATCTAAAAGATGTAACAGACCTTCATGGAGATTTCATTGGAGACGGTTGGTACCCGTATTTAATCCTGAATCCGGATCTCAAATCCTTTCCAGAATATCTCTCGTCTTTGTCATTTTCTCCGCCCGAGGATGTGGTTATTTATACTGCTGAATCAAAATCTCCGGACACAGAGACCTTCCGGTACATGCCCTCGTTCGGCGAAGGACTAACTGCTAGGAAGACCCCTGCGCTGTTCATTTATCATCCAGGGAACGATACCTTATCTCGTATCGCCTTCGATGACCCAGTTATCTATGGCCAGGCGCTCTTTGGCCCCTTCTCTGGATCTACTACGCTGTTTGCGACCGGCTACGAGCGCACAGCCGACGATCGACTCCTCGGAATCAAGGGGTGCTTCAATCGTCCCTCCGGTATCTGGAAAATAGAGCTTCCTTCTCCGATCACCAGCGATAAAGATTCAAAAGACAGTCTTCTTACCATAAAGCCCAAAAATGCTACCAAACTTACGTCCGACATCCTTTCATGTCGATCTCCTCGCATCTACAATCAACGGATTTTGGTCTGGATCGTCAATGAGTCAGGGGGTCCCCACGCTTCTTGTTCCACTCTGCATATTATAGACCTGACTTCGATGGAGGGACAGTCTCGAACACTTGTAGAATCAGTTTGGGAGCCAAAGGAAGGTGACTTCCCTGGACTCTACCTTGGACCCGCATTGGCGCGAGATCCGTTTATCCTTCATCATGATGAGCCCTGTGTAGTCCTAACATCAATTTGGGGTTCTCGGAGCTATATACTACGTATCTCTTTGACAACGGGAAAGGTGGACACAGTGCTTGGTGTCACAGACAAGCGCGATGACGAGTTATGGAGCTATAACCTACTGGCTGCCGACGCAAAGCAGCGGATGGTACTCTCCCGTAGCTCGCCCAGGATTCCTTGCGAGCTGATCCTATATGACGTCTCCGCAATCGGAGAAAGTTGGACAGATCTCGCGTCCTTTGGTCCAAGTTCTGCAGATAGTAAGCAGTGTCTTCCCTAATCCTGATCACTGCTGATGATCTTATCGACCGCAGCGCTCCGAGCACTTCAATCTCTAGATGTCCAGATTATCAAGATACCCGATCATTTCCCCACAGAGACCATTGTTGTTCGACGCAAGGATCAAGTCAATCTTCCTTGCGTGATCAATCCGCATGGTGGGCCTCACGGAACCACAACAACGGGCTTTGTACCTTCTACTTCCGCTCTAGCAATCGAAGGGTGTAAGTGTCTCCGCTCCCCGCAGTTTACATACAATAAATGCTAAGCGTCCTCGTCAGACGCGATCTCTCAGCCGAACTACACAG